CCCCACGGCCCCTGGGTCACTGCCGCGATGTCCAGCCTGGCTCCCGCATTCTTTCTGGGACAGCCTCCCTCTCCGCGGTGTGGGTGGGTGTGAGAAAGCTGACCCAGACCCAGCTGGACCCCAGCCCCTGCAGCCCTTTCCCATGAGACAAGGACCCGACCTTCTGTTTTGCGTCCAGGTGGCCACATGCGGAGAGAGGGGCCCCGCTGGCCGCCATCCTCGGCCGCCTCCAGGTGCGCACGGGGTGTGGGCCTCCTCCAGCCCGTGTGAGGCTGGCGCGGGGGCCCGGACGGAGTCAGCCCAGAGTGCGCTCGCTCTGGGTCCCTGGGAGTCTACGGGGTGGGAGGAGGGTAGGACTCCCTCCAGGGACGTCCTCAGCATCGGACCCAGGACACTTGTCCTGCCAATCTCGGCCTCCCGGACTCCAAGGAGGCGGGGTGGAGGGGAGGCTGGTCTGGGACTGGTCCGGAACAGACTGGGGGTCAGTCGCCTCCTCTGCTTCCTAAACCCTGCACCCCTTGGAGTCCAGGGCCGCCGCCACAGGCCCCAGCAGTGCCCAGCAGGACGCTGCTGCCGACCCAGATTCAGGCTGGACCGGCCACCTGGGCGCCAAAAGTGAGGCTCTGGTACCCTCTGCTGGCCGCATTTGGGAATGGCCACTCCTGGCCGCGTTGCCCGCTGGAAGAAAGGGACCACGCTGACCAGGTCCTCGGGTGAGGCCCCTGGGGTCTCTGTTCCTCACTGGAGGGGCTGTCCTGCTGGAGGGGGACTCTGGCCGGCATGGGCTCTGACCGCTGCCCAGGGGCTCAGGGCTGAGGACCGCCTGCCCTGGGCCCCCACCGGGCGCCAGGCCCTGACGGGCAGGGGGTGGGTATCCCTGTGTCCACCTCTTGTGGCCCTCGGGTCCACTCAAGCCCGGAGACGGCAGGGACAGTAAATATTTGCTCCTGCCAGGAGAAGGCAAACACTGCCCCAAGGGCTGGGCACAGGTCCCCGTCACCCATGCCAGGAACAGGTGAGACGAGAGAGGCAGGCCTGGAGGTGACTATGCCGGCAGTGTGTCCTGGGGGGGGCACGGCACATGTCTGCTCTGGGCCTCAGCCTCCCTCTGGGGAACGCCGGGCAGGAATTCCCATCCCACACGGCACAGGTGAAAGTGGGGCTCCCAGACAGCCAGGAGAGGCGGGACGAGGCCGTGAGGGGGCCCAGAGGCTTGGGGAACCATGGGGCACAGCTGCATCCCCCGCTGCCCCAAGTCTGGGGAACACTTAGATGGCCCCAAGCCCCGTCGCCAGGTGATGCAGCCGATCACCATGGCCAGCTCAGGGCAGGTAGAGCCCAGGGCCCAAGGGCAGGCGGTTTCAGGACACGGGAGGGCAGTCCCTCAGCTTCCCAGAAGGGCCGGGGACGGCAGAGCCAAGGTCTGCAGGCCTGGCTTACGTGGGGTGACCGAGGGGGCCGGGAGCACCCACACTCCAGCCAGGGCACTCAGGGTGGTGCCCGTCAGGGGACGAGGTCTTGGGTCACCTTGGACAGTTGCTTCCGTCCTGCTCTTGCCTGTGCCTGGGAGGCATGGGGAGGCGACCCCCTCACCCAGCTCTGGACCCCTCTTTTTCGAGGATGCAGTGTTAGGGGTTTTGGGGCCGGATGAGAAAGTCAGGGCAGGGCGTCCTGGGACTCGGGGCGTTTCTACGTGGGGAGGAGTAGAGGCTGACATGCACGGGATCGAGGTGCCATAATGGAGTCTCTGGTGAGACAGCCGTCCCCCTCCCCACAGCCTGGGGCCGATGTCCCCCGGGACAAGAGTCACAGAAAACCTCAAGAAAAGCCCCTCCAAGGACACCCCTCAGCCCTCAGCACCACCCACAGGTCCCCGAGGCTGGGATGGCCCGGGAACCCCTGAACCCCAAAAGACCCCTGCTCCTTCCACCCGGACTCCCACCCCCTCTGTGGAGTGTGCCAGCCTTTGGGGCATCAGCCCAGCACCCTGAGGGCCTTTCTGGCATCGGGGCGGCCAGAGTGGCCTGGCTTACCTCCCCAGCCAGACCCCTGGGTCCCCGCTAAGGCCCGTCCCGCGGGGTTCACGTACCTCAGCTCCGGCGAGGTGCCCCTGACCCTACCCGTGCCGGTGGGGCCGGCTGGGTGCTCCCATGGATGGTCGTGGCTGATTCCGGCCACATCCTCCCTCCTCTTCTGGGTCCAGTGTCCAGCCATCCACCCGCCGGCCCAGCCTCGGCCCCCACTCTGGGGGCGGGGCTCGCTGGAGGCCTGGACATCTCCGGGTGGGGGTGCTGGTGTGGTTGGGGGGAGGACAGCTGGGCCCCCATCCCGAGGGCAAGCTCAGGGGCCGGTTGGAAGTGGTCAGCAGCCTCGAGCCACCGTGCCAGCCCCAGCCTGGCCCAGGCGGAGTTTCAGGAGCGGTGCAGATTGGTTTGGCCTGGGTGGCGGGCAGGCCGGCCAGGTCTCAGGGCGGCCAGGGTCACCCGCTGGCCTCTCAGGCCATGGTCAGCCCAGGCAGTCCTTGGGCTCTGGCCTACCCACTGGGCTGTGTGCCTGGCAGCCACGGCGAGTTCAGGGGGTGCTAGAACACTCCGTGTCAGGACCCCAAAGTCCCAGACCCATGCGGCCTCGTCCTCAGGGCCTGTGGGTGCTTCTGGGTGACCACCAGGCTTGCGACTGAGGAAATCTGGCCAAGTGGCCTTTCCTGCTGGGAGGGAGTGGGCCAAGGAACGGCGGGGAGACCCTGGCCCGGGTGCTCGACCTAGTGGCCTCGGCGGTTCCCTGCTGGGCTGCAGTCCTCAGGTCACTCAAGGAGGGAGGTGCCGAGGCCCTGCCCAGTGCCCGCGGTCCCTCCACCTGCTCCCGGCCCACGGGGCCCCTGACCTCTCCTGCTTCCTCCAGGGCACAGGGGGCCCCTCCGGCGTCCGGCCGGGTCTGGGCTGGGGCTGGGTGACTGTCCCGAGTGGGTGGCTCTGAGGGTCCCCTTCCCAGCCCCGTGCCCCTGCGGGAACCCTCCCCAGCTCAGCCTCCACGGTGTCTCCCTCAGAAACAGCTCTAGAAACAGACCCCGGGAAGGTCAGTGGAGAGAAGTCACGGGAACGTTCTCATCCTCTTTCTCGGAACGCTCTCGGGACCCTGGGCACGGTGGGTACCGACAGAAGGAAGGGCCGACCCCCAGCGCCCCCGACGCCGCCAGCCGCCCTCAGACTCCACAGCTCCACGGCTGGGGCTCTGTCCTGCCCGGAACCAGCGGCGTGTAGGGGGTGGGGGCCACAGGTGGCCGACAGGCGTCGCCACCTTGGAGAGGGCATGGCCACGTGCCAGCCTTGCCAGTGTGGCACCCACGGGCCCCCGAGCCTGAGGAGAGAGCCTGGAGAGCCGTA